TCACTGCAGTGTGATTGTCATGAACAGACACTGATTCATTCTTCAAATGAGCAGACACTGATCTTTCTCTTAATTGAGAAGATGCTGATCTTTCTCTTGAGTGTGAAGACACATAGGTTGATCAGCAGTTGAAAGTGATATGTTCTAATTGATTACAGTTAATGTATACTTCACATTGACATTGATCAGTGACTTCTTCAGAAGTGATCTCAGAAACTCAGAAGCTTGTTTAAACAGCAGAAACTCTTGCTTATGTATAGATATTTAAGTCTATTCAGTTCATGATATCTGTATCATTGCTGTTACTTCTCTTCAGCACAGATATATAAGTTACTGAGATGTAATGTCTTCTATCACTGTTCTATATACTCTTGAGCTTAATATGACAGTTGTTCAATGTCTGAAGCTGTATGCAGAAATATTTATAAGTCTGGTCTTCATCTATACTTTTAAGAGTCTGTAAGAGTTTGAAAGTTAATGTCTTCTTAAGTATACTAATCTTTATTCAATTCTCTCAAGATTGATCACCTGCTTGTAGATTCTTGATATTGAAGTCAGAGATAAATGTTATAAGAGAAGTGTTTCTCTGTCAGATACTCTGTAATCAATCTAATACTTTCTATTGCATGACAGTGTCTCAGAACAGAATATCAAGATATTTAATAATATTATCAGATGTTTATAACACTGATTTACATGCTTTCATTTATGAGTGAAACTTCTGTTTTATATGATTCTTCAATCATTTATTGATATATCAATCTTGATTGATTAATGAGCTGATAATATCTTCATCTACACTCAGTTTCATGAGCATTTTCATTCTTCATGATGAGTAGAGAGTGAGATCAGAAGTATTGAAATATATAAGAGTATCTAAGTATTCTTTCAGTGCTTTTATATTCAATTCTGTAAATGTTGAAATTGCATCAGTTTCTTATTATGATAATTATTGAATCTCTTCATATTGATGTTGTTAAGTTGCATGCATATCAGCTATTTATTGTTGTTATAATTTCAACATTGCTCAGAGTCACTGTGATATCACTTCTATACTTGTGTTCAAGAGTTCTCTTATATTATTATTAGACATGATTATATTATTTTATCAAATGTATAATATTTATGAAATCTGAAGAAGTATAATTGTATTCTCATATATCTGAGTGTCAGAACTCTCAGATCTTTCACTGATATTCTCTTATAAAATCTTACTTTCTTTATAAGATCTTATTACAGAGTCAGAGTAACTGATGAGTAAGCTTCTATCTGAGAACTCAGTATTCACTTAACTGTTTGACTGTTTCTCTATTTCTTACATATTATTACATGTTTAAATATCTCTCAATGAATAATTGTTTCTAATGAGAAGATAATATGTGAATAATCATTTCTAATAAGAAGATAATGAACATTTTTCTAGTATAAGAGGCCTACACTGAATAGATCAGTATTATATTAATAGGTCTTATATAACAAAGAGAAAAATGTTAGAGAAGAAAAGAAAGAGAAAGTATGAAAATCAGTAATTGAGATGAATATTTATACACAATTATAACAGCTGAGAATCAGTGATTGAGAATGACTGAGAATTGAAGTGTATCAGAGCATACACATTTGTGATGACTGAGAATTAATAATTGAGAATGACTGAGAATCAGAGTGTATATATTCAAAAGTGAAACAGAAGAATCTATAAAGTGTAATGAAATAATCTATATAATTGATCAGACGCAGTCCGTCATATCATGACTTGAAAAAAATAAGAAAGTAATCTTATTTAAACTTATTTAATCTCATTCTTAAGATAAAGTTACTATTTTAAGACATTTTAAGGCCCCGGTGGCCGAATGGTTAATGCGGCCACCTGGTAGCACCTTGGCGTGGGAAACCAAGGCGCGTGGGTTCGAAACCCGCAGGAATACATTAAATCCGGAACTCAAGCACCTCAGGTTCCTAATAAATACAGAGGTGTACAAATTGCTCCAATGAATCACTCTATGTTCCTGGGCTGGGAAGTTATTATCGCATGTATCTAATTGTCACTCCTTTGTATTTTCCTATGTTCTTGTTATCTTGGCGTGGTCTCAACACCTGTATTTCCTCCTGTATAATCAACACTTGACCTGTATTTAACATCACGCAAGGACTCATCATAAGCTCCGCTTGCATATGAGTATAATGAAAGAATAATAATAATAATAATAATAATAAGACATTTTAAGATTTTTTTTAGACTATTTTTAATTTTTTAAAAAGTAACACTTTTTAATAATACTTAAATAAGATTTAAAGTTATTTAAAGTAATAAAAATAATTTAAATTGAGAAGTAAAAATCATAATCTTATTTGAAAAATATAATAAGAGTAAACAGTAAGTCTCACTGAGATAGTATGAGACTACTATTTAATGTTAAAACTATGTAATGAGATCAGTCAAATTGGTAATGAAACTATCAAAAAATCTGGTCCTGGTCTCAGACACGGTCACACGGTCAGTCTAATTACAGGAGCGGGCGTTGAGTGTAGACTGGCGTTGAGTGGTTGATTACGTTACTAGTTAACTTTAAGATGATACTTCTATTCTAAGAATTTGAGATATGAATATAAAAATCAGATACATTATGAGAACATTGTTATTCTAAGGTTCTAAGATGATACAGAAATGATGAACCTATTGTCTTTCATACTCAGAATACTGAGTAAATTGTTCTCATGTTGCTAACAACCAGGAACTGTTTCTTCTCAGACACTTTGCAAGATATCATCACTCACATGACCTGATTTTACTATTTGAGGTTAGCTCATGACATAATCATCAATCAGTGTTAAAACAGCAATGAATATCTGGAGAAGCGTCTGAGCTTGCTGAGATAAAGGCAGCCGTACTTTCTCTTTAATGATGTGCCATGTGATCTGACTTGGTAGGTCAAAACGCTTGGGCCGGCCAATACAGCACAGGGGTGAGCCTGCTGAGATAAGCGGCCGCTACATCCTCGCGACGGTTTGTAGGTTAGATATCAACTCTACTATCCAACCCGCACAAGAATAGCCCATATGACTGGGACCAAACGCTCTTGGGTAGGCGACCTAGCCCAAGATCCAAAATCAGACATGACACCCCACGACAGCAGCATAGATGGAGACACATCCACCATTCGGTCAATTTTCAACACTTTCCGCGGCGATCTAGACGAGCACCATGACCGCCGAGAACGTGTGATTAAAGCTTCAAGAGACATTACGGCTCTGAGTAAAAAGATGTATGCCAGATATCCGGAATCGATGGCTCTGGATTCCTTTTGCATGGGAGCTGAGAGGCTGATTGATTCACAGTATATTCTCCTTGCATCGAGTTCGCGCTCTGAATAAACCCCTCCCCAAAAACATCACGGAGGACAACCAAGAACGGCTAGCGCAAATAACTGCCCTCTTCAACTCCGTCGTACCCGACTTGGCTGGAATCAACGAGCACCGATACCAATGGCAAATCAGCCCCGGTATCCAGGAATACATCGAAGCTGCCACATTCCAACACTATGTAGAGACCCAGCGACTCATGTCCCTTGATGACGTGACCGAGTCATTACCTCCAGGCATCCTCGTGACGGAGGCGGACTACATCCTAGGCTTATTCGATTTGACGGGAGAAATGATGCGCTTTGCCATCACAACAATGGCGGCTGATTCCGTCAAAACCATGTCCGTCGATGGTGCTGCGCCTACTGGCTCTAACGAGAAGGACACTAGTCGTGGTAGCATCCTGCTAGACCTACGGCAACTTCGTGCCATGTTTGAATCAATAAATGTACCGCGGGGACATAGCTTGAACCGGGACTTCGGAAAAAAGCTAGAGGTGATGCAGAGGTGCGTGGAGAAGGTGGAGCGGGCCGCCTATGGTTTGCTTGTACGGGGAAGCGAGCGACCTGGGGGATGGATTCCGGATTTGACCGGCCCCCCTCAGGTAGAGAGCTATTGAATCTGTATTCTGTCTTAACTAATTAATATCACGTTTCCTCTGGTCTACGGGTGTATGATGAGCATCTGTTTTGATAACTGGGCGAGGAGTCAAGGTTTACGAAAAACAAATAAAATTTTCGCGTGTTTTATGACGCAATAGGCCATAAAAGTGTGAGTTTTTTAATGCGGGATAACTACCGCGATGAGGCTTGGTGGGTATGCTGTGACTATAAGACACTTGATAGTGCCACATGCCTTGTTGGGTACAAGGTTCCGTACCTTGATAAGTACCATCCATTGCGAAGCGCCAGTATTTACCAGAGGAAATAATAAAAATTCACTTTGCTAAATACAATATCATGCTTCATTTAATCATTGACGGACGGGTCCACTACGAACCCACGACTGGATATCAATCCCATTGGGTGGGTTTAGTCATCCTAAAGGCGCAATGTGTATCAAGGCCAGAAAATCGCATCATAATAGAACATGACCGGGTAAAATATTTTCGGATCATCCGACCGTACAATTCTGAAGCCGATCTGTGATGATTGAAAAAGAGAAGATATAGTCCCATCCCATGAGCAAAGCAAACAGAGGCGCACAGAATTAGAAAATAAAGAACTCCATGAATCTCGTCAACCCATCATCGATTCGCTGGGTACGGGCATACATAGCATCTAGCATAACCGTTGAGCATCCCCCTATTGAGCTGGGTGGGTAGGGTCTTCATTCTCATCAAGGATCCCGAGATGAATGAGCTCCTCAGGCTTGGGGCGGCTCTGGATCTTATGTTCCAGATGATCAGCCAGCATATGCTTCTCTAGCTCACGCGCATTGGCCTGGAGAGCCGGAGCAGCGGTGGAAGGTGGGATGATGTTTCCTAATATTGGATTGGGTGTTAGGCTGCTACGCATTACTGGGGAAGCCGATGTCGGATAGTTATGAATTCATACTCTCCACAAGGTCTTCGCGATCGGGCCTTTTCTCCAGATGCTTCTTGAGGCTATCTGCAGCCTTCTGACGGGCTAACTCCTGTTGTGCTGCCTGCAGGGACCTGGCCGCAAAGGGGTGGTGTTAGCGAGTTTGGGACCTTTCAAATTTGGGGATAGGAATGACCGAGAGGGCAAACATACGGAGCAAGATTGGTATCGAGGAGGATATGTCTCTCTTTCAAATCTTGCGGCTCGGGACGGTGTTGGAGATACTTCTCTAGCGAGTTGCGCCGCTCGACGGGCGAAATGGGGGAAGTGTCAACGTTTGAGGACTCAGCCATGGGTGGTTAGCTGAATAGATACTAGGTAGCGAGGGATGAAGGAGGGATGTTGTTAGTTGTTAATACTGGGTATATGATTGAGACTGAAGTAACTAGAGAGCTAAGATCAAGTTCATAGTACACAGAATGTGTGCAGAGAAAAGTGTCAGAGTCTGTTAATTTGTATAGGAGTCACTGAGAGGAGTAGTACTCTGTGATACCTGGCTCTTTTGCCCCAGTAGCCTACACCTAGTGTTTTCTTCCTGCGGAATCGCCCCGATTCGGTGCTCTGACGTAATCACGCGCTTCTGTGGAATGAACGCCAAGCCCGTTTTCAACTTGCTTCTTCGCTGCTTGCCATCGTTCCAACGTCCCTCTGTCTCGCGGTGTCTATATATAGATTATATATATCAGAGGCTCGCGTCAGACAGTGGACCATCATTTCTGCTTCTGGTTGCACTACACATACTACAGTGTTGCATGATCATCTTCCCTCTTAAGCATCTCTCGAACCAAACACCTAATATGCCCACTTAGCGCGTATGACTGCGCTAATCCCATTACCATGACCACGTCGAGAAATACAACCCCAGCCCAGATCTTCCCTGGGAGGGGGATTGGGTTTCTGAGTACGATTGCCTCCTGTATTTGTACCTATAGCTATGTTGATAGGATGTGCTAACTGGTCCTTCGCTATTAGCCTTGGGAGCCTCACTATATAATACCATAACCCGCCTCAAAGCCCATCCCCACACTTACCCCTCTATCGATTTGTCGTACTCCTCGTCCGATCCTATCCACGCCCCGATCCTGCTAAGCTTGCCCGCCAATGGCATGCGCCTGCGGTTCGATGGTCCTGACCAGAGACTGCGCTTGATAGAAGTCCTGGATTTCACCAAAATTCCTCTCGCATATAAATCCCACGACGTCCTCAAAGCCACGAAACCCATGGACCAGTCACCGCAACTAGGGCCAAGCTTTCGTCATGTCTACAATCGTATGTTTGGGCCATCCTATCCAGGGGAGTTTATTCCCAGTTCCTCAGGCTCAAAGTACGGAACATACGTTCTTTCCTACCCCGGTATCGCTTTCTCATTCCCCTTGCTTCAGTCTGCCTGGTCTGAGCAATGCGATTTCGTCTCCTTAATGTCATCATCTGCCGCATCTCCCGCTACTTCGATGGCTGTTTTCCAGGGATCGTCATGGGCAGATGGCCGCTCTAATTTGTTGACTCGAACGCCCCAATACCCCAGATCAACTGCACTCGCGGGGAAAAATCGAGAGTCGGTCGCAGATGAAATTGAGGAAGTCAAAGTACATGGTGCAGGTAGGGTGGAATTCTTCCGCAGAATGGGTCCATCATTTTGCATTTCCCTCTCAGAGACGACACCGCAGGATCTTGTAGCAGAATTTGGCCCTCCAGATGCTATCTATCGGAAAAATGATCGACGTATATCAATTCACGGGACCCAAGCACTTGGTAACACGAACCTCCGACGTACGAGCCCTTCTCCAGGCCGCATTGCTGACCCGACAGACATGGACCCGTTGTCTGAAACTAGTGTGACAGACGATTCGGATGGTGACAATTCTCCTGCTTTCCAACAGGATCGGGCTTCGCTGGCAACCGAGTGCTTTTATAACTACTTTGATCACGGGTTCGACGCCTTTATCTCCCATCCAACCGTTTCTGGACCACCGTTTCCAGGTTCCTCACATCCCGATACGTCGACAATCTCCTCACCTCCGCAGTTAGTCGTAACAAAGCTACTTCTACATGGGAACGTGCCAGGGTCTTATCCCTTCAATCGCCATAGGCGCAGCCGCTGGGTCCTGAATATCAATTCCGCCGGACAACCTCTGACGTCGGAAACCCCATATGACCAGCTATCAGACGAGTTGAAACGAATCTGGAAAGGTTCTTACTCGAGCGCATCCGAGGAAATGGCACTTCAGAGAGGAATGGTCCTCAACCGTGGCTGGGGTGACAGTCCTGGAAGCAGCGTCGAGCTTCTGGGTGGCTGGGAGGACAGCTCTACCAGCAAACCTTGGACTGGCTCAGTAACCGACGGTAGTCAAATCCTGGGAAATACTGAGTTGTTTGGTTTCCCAGGCTTGCTTTTTGAAGTGTTGAAGAATGGAGCCATTAGTTGTTTGACAGTGTACTAACTTGGGTTAGTATTCTTTTTTTATCTTTGCTTTATGCTTTCATATCGGCGCGCGTTTATTGAGCATGTCTAACGATAGTGGTCATATATCCCGGCATATCCATAAGTTTCATTATTTCATGTCAATTTAATTTATTCAAGTATACTTCGTGTGTAACATATCTGTGTGCTGGCTCTATATCTATCTCAATGGAGAATCACTTACTGCTCATGAATATATCCAAAATCCCGATGTTGACTCAAGAATTATACGGCCATTCAACAGTCTGAGTCGTCCTTTTCAACTTCTAGCCTCATTATCCATGTCCTCATAAACGATTGCGATAGTATGAAAAGTTATCCTATGATGCAAACCCGAAAAAAAACCATTGCAAAAAACATGCCGGTCCCGCTGCTTTGCATGAACCAGGTATACAGTTGAATGTGGTTCAAAACTGGATACACTAGACAGATTTTGCAACCACTGCACGGACAAAAAAATTACCTATTCCAGTAAGATGGATTCATGAGTCTCATATTTTTAACTTCACCATCAGTCCTAGACTGGCCGGCGGGACCATGAATTTCATGTTGGGTCCCATTTGATCTTGGTCTCATACATTTCTTGGCATGAGCATTAACGTGACTCACCGGTGTCACCACTCAACGAACTTCAAAAAGCACTCTATAGAGCTGTTAATTTTCAATCATAGCATAAGAATACAGTAAGATATTAATATTATTTATTAAAGATTAGAAGTACATATAGAATACATCATATAAATATATATGATTAATTCAGAGAATAATTGCGTGGTCTAATAATCCACCTGAAATATAAAACTTGCAATTTTAAAATGATTGAATCAAATTACAGTGTAGAAAATATCAGGGAAGAAATATCATTTGATTTTCTCAGAGAAATCTGTGTGTAATATTTATTACTATTTTCAGAAGATTGTATAGAGTTTTTACAGTGTTTTGAACTCACTGTTAATCTTGTTATAAATCTTTTTAAAATCTTTGTAAATATCTCTTTTATCAACTGTGTTTTATAATATTTAACAGTATATTCTTTCTTCTCTTTTTACAGTTGAAACTTCTATTCATTTTAGTATTATTTCTCTATAAAATGTTTAACTGTAGCTGCAGCTTTAATCTTCTTAGAATATTAAATAGATTTTAAATGTTTTTTCTTACATTGTTTTTTTCACTTGATAAGCTTTGTCTGTTTTTACTTATAAAAAATCACTTGTTAAACCATTATATTTTTCTTACATATTTTTCTTACATATCTAATTATTAATTTTTGCAGTTTTATTAACATTTACTTACTTTTTCTGTTGACTGTTATAGTCATTGCAGCTATCACGTGTGACAATCTCCTTAAATCACGTGATCAATCACTATATTAAGCTCTTTATAAATGGCTCTATTAATACAATCTTTAACTATTCTACAGATTATAGTCTGAATAGTATGTTTTTCCTTTTTATAAAATGTTTTATCAATATTTTGATAAGAATAGTTTATCTTTTTTAGAAAGACTTTTACTTTTTATTAGAGATATTTTATTTTCTCTGAATCTGCTCATTAGTAGATTTATATCTTTTTTAAAAATGCATTCTTCATTATAGAGAATGTTACCTGTTTTTACATATCTTAAAAAAGCAGTTATTTCAATATAAGTAATATGTCTGTTACTTTATTATTCAGCTCAAGACTTAGAATTACCTGTTTTTCTAGATAATTTATTAATAGAATAATCACTTATTATAAGAAGAATTCTGAGTTATAAGATAAGAGTGATATCACTTTTCATCAGAGTGTGAAATTCAATAATGAGACAATAGAAGTACTTCAGAACAAAGAAAAGCAGTATTAAAATTTAGATTTATTTACAGTATCTATTTATTCTAATTTAATAAATTCTTTCTCTTTTTCTTCTTTAAAATGCTAGCTTTTAATAATGATCTGAATCAACTCATCAATTACACTGCAGATAATCTTATGAATCTTAAATATATAATACTTTTGAATTAACTGACTGCAGCTAAAATTATACAATATCTTATTATATCTAGCTCTCTATAAAGCTCAAGAGATACTCTGAGAGATAAGTTACAGAAATACTAGAAGAAAGTTAAATATACTCTAAAAATTTAATCAGTGACTATCTTTAACAGTTCTAATTATAAGATCTGATGTATTGATATGTTAACTAATATAGAAGTTATTAATAGAATTAACATCTTATTAAAAACTTAATAAAAATTCTCTTTTACATGTTATATTGATTCTGAGAAGTGAAAGATCTGTTTCAAGTCTTTATATAAATATATACTGTCAACTCTTGTTAGTAATATTTAAACTATTATTAAGATCTTAGAAGGTGATAATACTGCAGCTCTATAAAACAAGATCAATATTAAATACATAATATCACTGAGTGAAGAACATGTTAACATCTTCAAAGAATTAATGAAAATACAGATTAAGAACAGTGATTATTTTACTTTTCAGAGATATTTTCACTACTTCATTTCTTATTACAAAGAGCTCTGTCAGAGTACTGAAAATATATACTATAATCTTTTTCTCAACAATCTATGAGATTATCAAACATTATTTATTAAGATACATCTGACTATGTTTTTCTTCACTGATAAAAAATTAATTGTAAACATTAATATTAATGATTTAATAAAGCAGCTGATTAATCATACATTTAAGAAGATTGTCAGTAAAGTGAAAGAGCAGGCTCAGGCTGATTCTGTAACTGTAAAAAAGAATAAAGATAAGAATAAAAACACAGATGTATAAAAGTGTACTGTAAGAAATCTCACTTCTCATGAATTCTTTACCTCTATTTTCATCTCTTATGTAATTAATAGAGTTAGCAGCTCTTCACTATATACAACTATATAGACTGAAGTTCATGACTATTATTTATAACTCAGTTTAAATACTATTATATATTAAATCTCTATAATTATCTTTCTACTGTGAATACTTCTAGTAGCTATTAGTATATATTATGTCAAGCTGTGAATATCTGAATAACTATCTGTGAGTACTTATTCTT